GATGATGATGACGATTATAATAAGTCGATGCAATCCACACTTAGTATAGTAGAAAGTAATACAGAAATAGTTAATGGGCCCCACGTTTTTATTTTAGTCTAATATGCCTCAAGCTATATGGTCAGCAAGCGTTATCAGCCGAGGAAAGTTGGCTAGGATTTATTTATTTATTTAATACAAAAATCCACAGCTCTTAAAAACACAAATTACATGCTAAGTCCAGATAGATACATGCATAGATACAGTCAATAACGGATTTTATTTATACAAACAAAAATTATAATTCCAAAGCGAAGTAGGCAACGTTGGATATAGAATACCTTCAGAAATTGCTAAAATTAGTTCATCAATCAGTAAAGAATTAATAATCTTCAAACGTTTGAATAGGCTTTTTGAATTACAACTAAGAATAATTGATAGAGACGCATTATTAATAAATCAAAATCGATATAGTGATTAGGGAGTTATTAACTTGCTTATCACGCATATACTTGAAATATTTAATATTGTTAATTGCAGAATTTATTTATTATAATTTATTGTTATTATTATAGTTATTGGGTGGTTGTAATATTCAGGTTAATGTAATTTAATTAAATAAATAAAATAATAAAAAATAAAAATAAAAATCGGTAAAAAAACTTTTAAGTTAAACGGTTTTATTTTATGTGCACTGAAAACTACAAAATAAATAAATAGTTACTTACCTATCAACCTACGTAGGTGATCTCGGTCATTAATGTCTCTGATGGTAGTGGTTGTCATAACATGAACCGTTGGTTCAGCGGCCGAAAGGCAGTTCATGAGAGAACACTAACACCAGGGTTTGCTTGGTAGGTAAACTAAGCAGCCCGCACTATAACAAGTAGGTATTTTGACCTTCTAGTTCAGAAATATTTTAGTACTAGGCAGAATAGCTTTTAGGCATATTAGACTAAAATAAAAACGTGGGGCCCATTAACTATTTCTGTATTACTTTCTACTATACTAAGTGTGGATTGCATCGACTTATTATAATCGTCATCATCATCATCCTAGCGGTTTATCCCGGTCGCATCCGAAACCTCATAGCTCCGGAGTCCAGGGTCCGCTGAATCGACTTACTATAATCGTAACTGGAGGTTTTGACCATCAATAACCAGCCGTTACGGCTTCACCAGCGAACGCCGAGCTCATGATCTACCAAAGTATAAGATATGCTCTGCTATAGGTATGATTTCACACCTAAGTGTCGAGTGTCGAGTGTCGAGTGTCGAGTGTCGAGTGTCGAGTGTCAAGTGTCGAGTGTCGAGTGTCGAGTGTCTAGTGTCTGAGTGTCTAGTGTCCGAGTGTCTAGTGTCTAGTGTCTAGTGTCTGAGTGTCTAGTGTCTGAGTGTCTAGTGTCTGAGTGTCTAGTGTCTAGTGTCTAGTGTCTGAGTGTCTGAGTGTCTGAGTGTCTGAGTGTCTGAGTGTCTGAGTGTCTGAGTGTCTGATAGTGTCTGAGTGTCGAGTGTCGAGTGTCGAGTGTCGAGTGTCGAGTGTCGAGTATCGAGTGTCGAGTGTCTAGTGTCAGAGTGTCTAGTGTCTGGGTGTCTGAGTGTCAAGTGTCTGAGAGTCTAGTGTCTGAGTGTCTCGTATCCGAGGGTCTAGTGTCTGAGTGTCTAGTGTCTGGGTGTCTGAGTGTCTAGTGTCTAAGTGTCGAGTGTCGAGTGTCGAGTGTCGAGTGTCAAGTGTCGAGTGTTGAGTGTCGAGTGTCTAGTGTCTGAGTGTCTAACGTCTGGGTGTCTGAGTGTCAAGTGTCTGAGAGTTTAGTGTCTGAGTGTCTTGTATCCGAGTGTCTAGTGTCTGAGTGTCTAGTGTCTGGATGTCTGAGTGTCTAGTGTCTAAGTGTCGAGTGTCGAGTGTCGAGTGTCGAGTGTCAAGTGTCTAGTGTCTAGTGTCTGAGTGTCTAGTGTCTGGGTGTCTGCGTGTCAAGTGTCTGAGAGTCTAGTGTCTGAGTGTCTTATATCCGAGTGTCGGAGTGTCTAGTGTCTAGTGTTTAGTATTTGAGTGTCGAGTGTCGAGTGTCTAGTGTCTGAGTGTCGAGTGTCTGAGTGTCTAGTGTCTAGTGTCTAGTGTTTAGTGTCTGATTGTCGAGTGTTTAGTGTCTGATTGTCGAGTGTCTGAGTTTCTAGTGTCTGGTGTTTAGTGTCTGAGTGTCGAGTGTCGAGTGTCGAGTGTCGAGTGTCTAGTGTCTGAGTGTCTAACGTCTGGGTGTCTGAGTGTCAAGTGTCTGAGAGTCTAGTGTCTGAGTGTCTTGTGTCCGAGTGTCGTAGTGTCTAGGTCTAGTGTTTAGTATCTGAATGTCGAGTGTCGAGTGTCGAGTGTCTAGTGTCTGAGTGTCGAGTGTCGAGTGTCTGAGTGTCTAGTGTCTAGTGTTTAGTGTCTGAGTGTCGAGTGTCGAGTGTCGAGTGTCGAGTGTCTAGTGACGAGTGTCTAGTGTCTAGTGCCTGAGTGTCGAGTGTCTGAGTGTCTGAGTGTCTTGTGTCTGGTGTTTAGTGTCTGAGTGTCGAGTGTCGAGTGTCGAGTGTCGAGTGTCGAGTGTCGAGTGTCTAGTGTCTGAGTGTCTAGTGTCCGAGTGTCTAGTGTCTGAGTGTCTTGTATCCGAGTGTCTAGTGTCTGTGTGTCTAGGGTCTGAGTGTCTGAGTGTCTAGTGTCTGAGGGTCTAGCGTCTGAGTGTCTAGTGTCCGAGTGTCTAGTGTCTGGGTGTCTCAGTGTAGTCCTATTATTTGATACCCATATTGTGGTGGTTGTGGAAAAATATGTACCTAGTCCGCCATATTGGAACGGCGTCCATCTTGAATTTAAAATTTTGACATAATCATCGTGTTTTACTAGTGTAGCCCTTTCATTTGATACCCATATTGCGGGGGTTAAGGAAAAATATGTAATCCGCCATTTTGTATCGGCGGCCATCTTAGATTTATAATGTTATTGATTTTATTATATTGTATTGTCATCTAAACTAAATATGTGTACCAAATTTCAGATCAATCTGACAACGGGAAGGTGCTTAAATTCCAATTTCTAATTTTGACCCAAATAAATAAATACCGTACGGGTCGAGCTAAATAAAACCGTTTAAAAATAATAAATAAAATAATAAAAAAATTAATGATATTTGTATGTTCATCCCTTATTTCGGACACAATGTACATTGTTTTTTGGAATAAATCACTAATGACTATTTCATACGTAGATAAATTTCATTTCAATTAAAAATTTTTGTTTGTATAAATAAAATCCGTTATTGGCTGTATTCATAAGAGACTTAGCATGTAAGTTGTTTTTTAAGAGCTGTGGCTTTTGTATAAAATAAATTAAAATTAAATAATAAAACATCATATGATATGCAAAATCATACGTCACTCCAATTACATCGCTTTATATCATCATTATTATATGAGCCTTTAACTGTCCACTGCTGAACATAAACCTCCCCTTTGGGGGGTTTTGCCAGTAGTTGCCACGCTTGGCTGGCGGATTGCCAACCGCAGTTAGGCTTTGGAGATGTTTTAAGAGCTACGTTGCTGCCCATCTCTCACCCTCCCCTAGTTACTTCTTACGACACCCACGGGAAAGGAAGGGTGGCCTATTCTATGCCGGGACCACATGTCTATCGCTTTATATAGATAGATGGCTACAAAAAAGCATTAAGTGAAATTGTAGATAGTTGTTGTGGATAGTACAAGAAGAAAGTTAATTTGTCTCCGTAGGTTATAAGGTGGATAATATTAGTTCGGGAAATTTTGTAAAATGAAACCACGTATTAATCCTGTTCCTTCCTTACGGAGATATTTTTTAATAGTTTTTTATTGTAATCTTTTAATAGTTTTTTTTTTTTACAATAATAAGGTAAAAGAATTAAATCTATGTTTCGACTCGAAACAGCTTTTTTTTGTATTTATTTCTGAGCCCATCGGCTGATCTAGATTAGTTATGAATCGAAATCGCAGTAGACAGTCGATTGAACTGTAAACTGCAAGCGAATAGACACTTTAGCACACTGACTGAAAGTCTCTATTATTATAAAAAATAAAATACACTTTATAAAAATGAAAATAATTATAAAGATATATTTAAAATAAAAATCATAAGTTATATATTTCACGTTTAATAGCAAATAGTAGAGAATGTACTTTGTATTGTACTTTGTACTTTGAATGTAATGACTTTTGTACAAAGACTCCCTCACCAGAGGGAGACTTTGTACAATAGTCGATTGCTTGGGTATCTCTGTCCCATTCGTGTTTCAACCGTAAAGCAGTTGTGTTTGCATGGCTGTGTTTCGGTTTTGAAGGGTGGGATATGGCGTGAATTTACTGGGTACGGAGGAATAACACCTGAGTCCTCAGGAATGGCAACGCATGGGGGTATCATGGGCGAAACAGTATACTCTGTTATGTCCATGGTACTGCTCATGTCTATAGGCGACGGTTACCACTTTCCATCAGGTGGGCCGTCAGCTTGTTTGCCAATCTAAGTTGTATATATATATATAAAAAAAAAGAATGTGATATTAGGCCTTTGCGAGAGAAAATCACTTTTATCAATTGTCACAAGTGGATATCACAGTGTTAATAATAAAATAAAAATGATTAATGATAATGAATTAAATGAAGTAATAAATTTCATGCCTATTCGCGCCAAACTATGTAATATAGGTATTTATTGAATGTAATAAAGCACTCCTTTGTGTCAAAGGTTAAAACATAAAAGATTAAATTCGGTGTTTGGTGTAATTTATCTCGCCAATTGTCGTCTGTGGTGCACGCATCTATCAAGAAGTTTGATTGCGCAAACTTTCCGATTGACTTCGAGCCATCCGAAGGTCTTGGTTCATATTAAAAAAGTTTCCTTGTTCATCACACTCTATTATATTTTTATAGGCTATATGAATTAAACGCGAGTACGTATAACAGTTATAGTGGATTGATATCGTATTAAATGGAAGGGCAAATAATTTCTTTTTATCAATGACAATGACAATGTACAAAGTTGTCAAGGTCGAAGAAATTGTTAATAATTCTGATTGTAAGATCGGCCTCCACACGGTCTCTTAGGAAACCATCGTGGTTAATTTCTATAGTAAATTCGCTACGATGGGCCACTTGATTCGTTTTCATCTTCGTTGGTTCTCCAGTGGTATCTTGACATAATATACCGTTAGCGTTGGGGGGAAGTGATTGTTAGTAACGGGGAAGTTAGTCCCCATTGCTATCAATATACCGTTTCGGGTCGACCTCCTCGCGGTTCCCCCGACCTGCCTTTTCATCCTCACCTATCATCCCTCACTGGTGCCCCGCCAGTGTACACCGATAGACCAGGCGGGGTCACCCTGCCATTTTCACCCATTAAAAAAAATACGTGTCCGTTAAAAAAAGACATAACTATTCCTACGTAGCCAATCTATATATATACGTTGTTTGTTGCAGGTCTTCCCAACGACCTGACGGTCTACTGGCATCAGTATCCTTACAGTCTTGGCATCGTGTTTTGCAAGCTACGAGCACTTATATCTGAAGCGTAAGTCTATATTTATGTTAATATTTTTAAGTAATAATAATAATTAATAATAATAACTCATTTAACGACAGCTTGCTGGCGGAAATGGGGAGGGGGGATATCTACTGGAATAGTCCTATTGGAACGGTCGGAATTCCAAAGTAGTTTTTTTGGGAAAGATGCAAAAAGCTGTGCTCCTTGATCCTGCCTGCATAGTGACCCGGTTCCTCTACTTGAGCCCCTAACTTCTAGTCTATTGTGCTTTTGTCGGGGATTAGTTTGCCACCAAGTATCAATGATTTTTCATGTATCCGGTAATGAATGGATAACCTTTAAACGTCTTATAGTTGAACACAAATTTTAGGACGGCTATAAGTTATATATATATATATATATATATATATATATATATATATATATATATATATATATATAAAATAAAAAAATAAAATTTATAGTGAAAATATGTATAGAATTTCTCAGCATGAGGATCTCTGTCCCACTTGTGTTTCTGCACAAAACAGCTGTGTTTGCATGACTGTGTTTTTGTTTGAATTTATAGGGTATAAAGGACCTAGAGCTAGGATATTTCAGGACCCCGTCACAGTAATATAAGATTTGTATATACTAAGACGTCGTTAGTGCTGTTCAGGTATATAGGTGACGTTTACCAATTCACATCAATGTGTCGATAACTTGTTTGGCATTATAATTAAACAAAATTTTATTTAATAATATTTCAATTGTATAAAAAATTGCACGTTAATTATAGTCACATATTGGCCCGGAATAATTATTAAAATATTTTACAATAATAATATAATTAATTACATTTATAAATAGGCATTGCAGTAAATCTAAATCTGTATCAAATAAATAATGTCTAAAATAAATTAACGAAATAGCAATAAAAGTGATAAGTGAATATTATTTGAGCGTGGAAAATAATATTACTTAAATAAAAAAAAAAAATTAACGTCTTTAACTAATTAAAATTACATTTTAATATACTTGAAAACTATAAAATATTAAGCAGAAAGAAAAACGAGAGGCGCGAGAGAGAGAGAGAGAGATATAGAGATGAAAAGAAAGAGATAGTACAGAGCAAATATAGATACGATTAGTAACGGAACATTTTATTAAAACGATGCTGGAATTATCTATTACATAAACGTAGCAATTTCGGTAAGTGGTCTTCTGGGAAAATAATTATTAAAGTGATGTTTGTCGATGGTGTACAACGGCGCCATAGAGACGAATCTATTGCGGCAGTACACAATAGGATTTGGTAGTTAACGTTCAGAATATGGGGATATACTCAGCGAAATGGGCAGTGTTAGGTTCATAACAACTGTGGCAGTAGTAAACATTTTAACCTATTAAGGATCGCTAAGATGACTGGAATGACTGGAAAAAGAGCATACTAACGTATCTATCACGACAGTCATGAATACAATTTAAAAATCACCAAAAATGTGTTATCAAAATGATACAATTTAAAAATTTGACAATTGAGTTGCCGCCATTTTGTATTACTGTAGTACACACATAACAGTTCCTTTATGTGTATTTTTCTGTTATTTTTCTGTTATTTTTCTTTTTTCTTTTGTATTTCTTTTCTCTATTTTTGTAAATTTTTATCGGTGTTTATTGCTATTCGTGTGCTGAAGTGCACAATAAATTTAATTGTGTCTTACAAATAAATTATTTATTAAATAATACCATCCATTGTTAAGTCCGCCAAATGCACATAAAATTACGCTGTCCCATTGAAGTTTAAATGAATAAATACTATTCAGCTATTTTAGTTTGTTTCTAATGAACGAAATATCACTTATATGCAGCTCTGCTCTTCGTGAACAGTTTGTGTAATCCGAAAAATGTTTAATATTTGTATAGATAGATACTCTTTATTGTTTCCTCCAAAAGATTACAATAGTAAACTTATTATAAATATAAACAATTACAAGAAATAATCACAATGAGAAAACAATGGGCGACCTTATCGTTAAGAGCGATCTCTTCCAGGCAACCTTTGGATGGAGAGGAGTAATTATAAACAATTTGGTAGGAGGCACGAAGTATGTTTTGTATTAACTATAGTAGTGCTTTGGTGCTGGTTTGCAGAGCGATTTAGTAACCATTGTTATTATTATATTCTATCTGATTTGGTTAGTTCATTTTGTTTGAAAAATGTATCTCACTTTGTAATTAGGAAGCAATATTGCTACGTAATATCCATTTTCATCCGACTTGAAAAAGATGAAGGTTTCCAATTAAGTTATTTTTTTTTGTGTTTATTACATCTTGATTGTTAATAACTAGCGGCCCGGTACGTGCTTCGCTACGTATAAAATGAAATGATAAAAAAAAATTACATCAATATCGCCAACAAATTGCTTTAATCGAAGCACGTCCAAAATGAAATGACCGCATGAATGACATAACAACATGCTTGTACTGTCAACACTGAAAAAAGTTTCAATTCGACAGCACAATCCCCATCTTAAAAAAAGTCCCCATTAACAAATTGTTTCGTCATTTACTGAATTCATTTGTTACAAAAATGTGATAAATGAAGAACCGCTCGACGGATTTTGTGCAAACTTCACATAAACCATCTACTAAATAGTCCGAACAACACCTAAACATTTGGTTTGGATAGGTGAGCCCGTTCTTGAGTTAGAAAATTACAACGAAAAGTGGCATTAATTTTTATACATATAGATTTTTTTTTAATTTAATACTCTTTTATTCTTGATTTAGTAATTTTCTTTAAATAGTTTAATTTCTAAATCTAAATAACAAGTTTTGTCACAATTGAATTCGTTGCTTTGTAGATTCAATTCAAAGCAGTTAATTTGACACCAACACAACAATTCTGTCACAATTAAATTCTTTGTTTTGTAGGATACAATATTTAATCATTGATAATTAACAAACCATCAAAGGGGTCACGCAGTGTTTACTAAATAGGTAATCAATTTGTTGATTCCGATGTAAACACGTCATATTGTAAACATTTAATTTGAAATTTGAATTCAGTAATAATTTCCAAGGTAGACCACCAGAGAGACTATTCAAAATTAATATGTCAGAATTTCAAACGTGGTGTATGTCTCTGCCACATTAGTTCTTGTGATGTCAAGCTTGTCTTTGAATGTGAGATATGGCAGTTAAATAGTAATACTTTTTTAATTATTATTATTAGATAATATTATACATATATATATATATATATATATATATATATATATATATATATATATATATATATATATATATATATATATATATATATATATATATATATATATATATATATATATATATATATATATATATATATATTAAACTTTAATATTAAATAGAACTGTTAATATTAACACCATATGGCGTTTTATATTAAAATATTTATTCAATTAAACGTTACGATAAACAGAGAGAATAAATGAGGATGCATCGATTTAACAAAATAATTTGAAAATAAATTAATAATTTATGAGAAAATAACATTAATACTTACAAAAATTATACATACATAAATCATATATAATACAATACATATATAAATAACTATACATAATACATACTAATAAAATAAATATAAAAGTCAAGACTAATTATATAATAGTACATATTCAAGTTTTTTTATTGTTGTGATAATTTGAAGTAATGTTCACGAAGCGATTTTTTAGGGACTATTTGATATATGAATAATAATAATAATAATTTATTTATAGATTACAAAGATCCATTCTTGTTAGTAACAATTGACTTAAACTATGTTAGTGGAAAAAAAATACAAAATTTATTTTATGGCCCCTATAATAATTTTGACCCACAATGAGAGGATCGGGCTATCGTATTTATTACACAATGCCCTCAGAATGCTGTTACTGCTGCCACGCAATCGGTATAAAAGAGATGCGATCCGTTTGCGTCTGATGGCATAGAAGTCATCTGTCCATGCCGCTGCAAACATTGTGGATGCACTACAAAAACGTGGCAGCCGTAACAACACCCTGAAAACATTATTGTATTGAACACGCAGAGCACTGTCGCCCGCTGTGTATAGTCAACCCACAGGCTGCTCGTGTAAAAAGATTGGCAATATGCCTTGAACAATATTATTTTCACTTCAGTCGAGCAACGACTAATAAACGTTCCTTTAAATTCTTAATCTGAACCTGATCAGCTGTACAAATACATTCATTAGATTGATTTTCACTAAGTAAAAATCTTACTAGACGACAAGACAATCAATTTTGCTTTTACAACGTTCATTAAAACTACATAAACTTTTTAAAAAAAAGGCTATTAGAATAAAATTCGCAAATTTTCGTCTTTTCAGCAAATACGAATAGTTTTTGATTATGGATTTATTCCATTTAATACTCAATTATTCGAAGCATACAATAGATTACCTCTTATTTGGAAGTCATTCATTTCAACCATCGTCTAACTTCGACCAATCAATAAGTCAATTAATATAGCTTTATTAATTAGTACAAAGTAATATTTCTACTAGTCAGCAGCGAGCAGTGGCCAATTGTTTGGAAACTGTAATTTGTTACGATTTCACGTTAAATGAACTGGGTCCGAAATAAATGTATGTATTCAAATAGATTTGCCAAAGATGCTCTTGAGATTCAATGAATAAAGATACAGGCTGTGACTGTGAAATGATGTGTAACTACGTGACTTCGCGTGAAGCACTGATTACTGTATATTAATAGTACATTACTGCAGCGGCCAGCAACTGAGGCATTGATGGATGAAGGTGCAAATGTGGGCCGAGGCGCAGCCGAGGCACACATACGTGAGTCCATCAATGCTTATTTGCGGCCAAGGCTTGTATAGTACTTTTCTCAAACAATGCGCGGAAATCAATAACACAGTTTTACTTTTTAAGTTCAACGACGAATAACGAATAATAATAATTTTTCACGCGCCATAATGTTCCTTTGTTTTTTTTCAATAAACAGCTTTCGATTTGCAAGCCAGTTCGAAATTTAAAT